TTTTTTTTTTTTTTTTTTTCTTTATCTTGGTTGCATAAAGAGATGCAACAATCTCTCATCTCTTATCTCACCCCACTTGCATGCTATGCAACTTAGGTCGTTGACGATCACAATTAAGACCTCTTATTTCCCGCAAAAGAAGATGATCATTGAACTACTTAGGTAGGTGGCGATCACAATTCCCTTATTTCCTTCCTTTTTCTTTTTCTTTTTTTTTTTAAGAATTTAAACGAGGTGAAGGAGGCATCTTCCCTAGGGATGTCAATGAGGCCCTGCAGGGCCGAGAGTCTCTCCCTGTCCCCGTCCCCGTCTCTGTCCTCGTGAATGATGGGGACGAGATCCTCACGAAGATTTTTGACGGGGAGCAGATTTTGCCCCCATCCCCATTCCTTGCGGGGAATGGGGATCGAGAACGAGGATCCTCGTTCCCCACCAAAATATCTAAATATACACTTCCACTTCGACTTTGAGCAACAACAGCGGCAGTGGTGCAGTAGCAGTTGTGGCGGAGCAGTGGCGCATCAGTGGCAGAGCAGTGGCACAGCAGTGGTGGAGCAATGGCGCAGCAGCGGTGCAACAGTGGCAGAGCAGTGGCGCAACAGCAGCTAGGGTGTAGCAACAGCAGTAGCCATGGCGCAGCAACAGTAGCAACAACAGTCTTAGACGGATTTGGTTTGGCAGCAGCAATCCAGACTCCAATTCAAGGCTGAAAGGTGAGATGTGAAATAGAGAATGGTAGAAGGGTGGCAATGAAGGGATCGAGGGATTTAGGGTTTGAAATTTGTAGGGGAGGGCCAACAGGGAAGGTGGAAGATGACTTAAGTGAGTGTGAGAGAGTCCGAGAGTCAGGGGCAGAGCAGCACTGGAGAAATGGAGAAATGAATAAGATTGCTTAAGGTTAAAAGAATTGGGTTTGGTTAGATTGAGTTGGGTTGGGTTAAATTTTATTGAATTGAGTTTGGATTTTAAAATTATATTAAATTTAAAATGAAATTAATTTATATTTTCTTTTTAATTTTTTGCGGGGATGGGGATCCCAACGGGGTTTCACAGGGTGGGGAAAATTCCCCGTGAAATTTCAATAGGGGAAAATGCCCCCCGTTCCCACCTCGCGAGAAAAAATATTCTTCCTCACCCCGTCCCTGCAACGAGGCTCCACGAGGATCTTGGCAAATTGCCATCCCTAATCCTCCCACTGTTCCCCTGTGTTCCCCTTCCTTCCCCATATTGCCTATCCCCTCTCGTTTCTCTCCCTTCCCATCCATCACCCTCAATCCAAATAGATTGTAACTCACGTTACAAAAGAAATAATTTTACTATTAATTGAAGTTATTGTACTTTTTTTTTTTTTAACAATTTTGACATTATTTACATGTATATATAGGGGAGGGGGGAAATGAGCTCCGTTGGGTTCGAACATGCCACTCACAGGAGGTAAACAGCCTTAACCCAGGTCCAATGCCACTGGCCAAAACGGGCTATTCACCTTTTTTTTTTTTTTCTTCAATTAAAATTTTAATGCAAATCATCAATAATAAAATTTATCTATTATTAAGTTGTCGAGTAAATTTCTTAATTTTAACTTATCTATTATATTTTGAGTAAGTTCCTTATCGCAAACAAACTCATTATATTTAGTTCTTTAACTAATTTAAGAAAAAAAATTAAGACCTCATGATATTTTTAATATCAGAATGTCTAACAATAATCATATAATAAATTTGATAAAATTAAAATTTACACTATAACTCACATATTTTATGGTTATCATTGGATATTTTGATATTTTTAATATTAACAAGTTCTAATTTTTCATTTTCTCATAATTTAAATTAATTTAATTTAAAAAATTTTCTTTTTTTCAAAAGAGAAAGTTAATGGGCTTGGAAGATGACCAGGCCCACATCTTCCCATTTCAATGCCCAGCCTACATTCTGGATAATCTTCTCTAGAAATCCTAATCAATCACCATCACTTTGATATCCCCTTCTTCTACTGTTACACCAAAAAAAAAAAAAAAAAAACCCTAGACCAGACTGGGACGATCCCTAAACTCGCCGAGTTAAGCAAATCTACTCGCCAGTTTCATTGGAAAAGTCTATTTCCGTTAGCGGTTTTAATTCCCCCTTCTCCCTTTTTGGATGTGAAGTGCTCTCTAATTTGTTTCCAATTCATCTGATTCAACAATGGGAGCTAGCCGCAAGCTGCAAGGAGAGATTGATAGAGTCCTGAAGAAGGTCCAAGAAGGCGTTGATATATTCGACAGCATTTGGAATAAGGTTAGTAATGATCTCGATCATTCTCTTCTGTATTTTCCTGTTCGGTTACTGAGAATTCAATCCATGGAAATTGTGATACCGTTATGCAAACACGAAATTCTTCTGTTCAAAGAGCCGCAATGATTATTTTTGGTTGAAAAGAAGTTGCAAAATGCAAGCGGATGTTTTACTTTCTTTATTTTTTTCATTTTTTTATTTTTTATTTTTGGTTTTAGGTTTACGATACAGATAATGCCAATCAGAAGGAAAAGTTTGAGGCAGACTTAAAGAAGGAAATTAAGAAGTTGCAGAGGTACAGGGACCAGATCAAGACATGGATTCAATCCAGTGAGATCAAGGATAAGAAGGTTATTTATGCGTACTTGTTTTATTGTTTCTTAAGTTCGGATTGATTGTTATTGAGAAATTGAATATTTATGTTTATTGATTATGAAATTGAGTATTGATCCTTTTCTTTTGATTCCTGATGATATATTAGGTTAGTGCCTCCTACGAGCAGGCATTGGTGGATGCTCGTAAACAAATTGAGCGTGAAATGGAACGGTTTAAGATATGTGAGAAGGAGACGAAGACGAAAGCTTTCTCTAAAGAAGGATTGGGCCAACAACCCAAAACTGTGAGCATTATGCATTTCTATTCTTTTTTGCATTGACTAGATTTTAAACTGGAAATGTAGAATTTAGAATAGTTAAGTAGATTCCAGGTTAAAATGGACTTGCAGATCTCTACCTGTTTGCTTGATGATGCCACTAATTGCAAACTCATTGGGCTTCATATTATCTGTCTTCGTGTCTTGAAAGCCTTCCATGTCATGATGTTGGTTCTGAAATTAGTATTTTAAGGAACAAAGTCATAGAATTATTTATCCATTTTAGGATTTATTGCACTTCTAAAACTGTTATTCCATTTGGAACCCACTTCTCTGTGATATTGATTCTATATTGTTGATATATGTCATGTTCTGACAGGATCCCAAAGAAAAGGCTAAAGCTGAGACAAGAGATTGGTTGAACAATGTGGTATGAAACAAAACCTTTTGACATTGTCTGATCACTCTTCCATGCCTAAAAATGACCATGACGTCCAAATAACTACTATGAATGTTTATTTCTTTCTATTCTCTTTGTTGAGAATTTGGCATTATAATGAAATGTTCTTCTGCCACATTGAATATCATGAATTGCTTCTACTAGAATTCTATCCTTGAGTAGGTTGGAGAGTTAGAAAATCAGATTGATAACTTTGAAGCTGAGATTGAGGGGCTATCTGTGAAGAAAGGAAAAACAAGACCGCCTAGACTGGTATGACTGAATAGAAAGAGTTATAATATCCTTTGATATTGATAGCTTCTCTTCCCCTTGGGCATTGTTAATTATTTAAACTTTTTTTTCTTGTTTACTTCCTTAGACACACTTGGAGGCATCGATTACCAGGCACAAAGCACATATAATGAAGTTAGAATTAATTTTGAGGCTACTGGATAATGATGAATTGAGTCCAGAGCAGGTCAATGATGTCAAAGATTTCTTGGACGACTATGCAGAACGAAATCAGGTATTCTTGCTTGAGAATTCCTCTTTTCCCTATCCAGTGCAGTCGCTGTCTCTGGGTTCTTGAGTGAATTACATCTTTGTTCTAAGTCATAATTTTTTTTTCCTAGAATTATTCTTATGCTCTCTTCTGGTTGTTTTTCTGGCTTTTTCACTTGCATCTATTCGCTAATTTATTTATCTGTAGGAGGATTTTGATGATTTTAGTGATGTTGATGAGCTCTACAGCTCATTACCATTAGACAAGGTAGAGTCTCTTGAAGATCTGGTTACTATTGGCCCTCTTTCCAAGGTAACCTGTTTTATCCTTCCTGTTTCTTTTCTATGGAATCTTATACTTGCTTGTGGTTGACTAAATGATTGACAATGTGACTTTCTTCTTGAATTCTATCTTGATGGTATGTAATTGAAAATGGTTCCTCTTGACTCCCTTAAGAAGCCATATTAATTCCACTTACTTTGGTAAATGCCAATCCAAATTACTGGAAAAAAAATATTGTTTATGAGGTTGTGCTTGAATTTTGCCTTTTTCCCTTCTATTCTTTTTTCTAATATACTATTAATGTTTACAAACTCATTGGTCCAACATTGCTTTTAACCCCTAATACCTTTTCCTTTTGAGAATATATATAGGAAGCACTGACATTCAGTATTTTCCTGTGATAGCTGTTACTCTTTTCATTTGAGATTTTGATTAAGCTTGCATTTTTAACATTTAAACGTGTTTTACTTTAATTTTAAAATAACAGCTTGCACTCACCTCTGGAAAGACTTCTGTATTCTGTATGGATCTATCAACTATGTGGACTTGGGGTCTAGGAATAGTCTATTATCCATTTCAAGTTTTGTCTTTGCTAATAATTTATGAAGCAGCTTTTTTCATAATTCATTTAAAATAATCAGGAAAGAAAAACCTTATTTGGCAGGGTGCACCAGTTCTTAGCTTGAAGAATTCATTGGCAGCATCAGCATCTCAAATGCCTGTATGTTTTCATATTTTTGTGGTGTTAGCAGTATTATAATGACTGGTATATTGGAGCTTTAGACCTGATAATGTTACTAGAAAGAGGAGGGAGAGAATTGGGTTTGGTCTGGGCTTTTTGTTAGTTTTATTTGACAATTCCCTCTTTATCTCTCACCAACCAACTAACCTGAATACAACTGTTTCTTTGTGATTGTTTAAGACCATTATTTTTCTTAGTTTGAGTATCTCTTTTTCTTCATTTCCTACTTGTTTGGTAGATTTGAGTTTGCATTTATTTTAAGTAGATTCCCAGTCTAGTTGTTAGTATATGGAGTTGCTTTGAGGGAAACTGAATATTCTGTGTAATTCGAACTGTTTAGTTTGGATAAGAAAGCTTGATAACTGGTCTGTTAATGTGCCCAATTTTGTGATATGATGTGGCTTGGTCTTTAATTGATGCTGCCCTAACATTTAAGAGTGGATTATGGTTTCCATTCCAGAACACAGCCAGTTCTACTCAACAGCAGGGTAGTTCCTCCCAGGAGCTTGTGGAAGATACAGCTTCTCAGGATAGTAATCCTGAGATTGTTGTGAGGACTCCTCCTCCCAAAAGTAATGCAATTAGTTCTTCTGCTGCAGCAACACCAGTGGGTAGTCATGGGACTTCTGTTTCAGTGAATCTTCCAGTTAATAGTTTCTCTGCTTTGTCAACTTCCACAGTTGGTCTTCCAGCTTCAACTTCTGTTCGAGGTGTCTTGGAAAACTCAAGTCCTGGTAATTCTGCTTCTCCTATTAATCTGTCTAATTCTACAAAAGAAGAAGATGTCGCTGGCTTTCCTGGCCGTAGACCATCTCCATCTCTTGCTGATACTGGATTGGTAAGAGGCATTGGTAAAGGTGGCCTCCCGAACCAGCCTTCAACGGTTGGCCCTGGAAATTCAGTTTCGGGCAATGGATCCCTTGGTGCAGTCCCTTCAGTATCTGAAGTAGCAAAGAGAAATATTTTGGGGGCTGATGAGAGACTTAACAGTAGTGGCATGGTGCAACCTTTAGTCTCTCCTCTTAGTAATAGAATGATCTTGCCTCAGGCAGCCAAGGTTAATGATGGAACTGCCTCGGTTGATTCTAGTAATCCTAGTGAAGTTGGATTACCTAGCAGAGCTTTCTCCCCATCTATGGTTTCTGGTATACAATGGAGACCTGGCAGTTCCTTTCAGAACCAAAATGAACTGGTATGGCAATTTTACTGTCATTTTAACCATGATAACAATGGTTTAGAAATAGGAATGTGATTTGTATGGTTTTTATGGAAACATCAAAATTTTCTTTTCTTGCATTGAATCCTTGAAGATTTGCATATTTGGATTTGTTCTGTGTACCATTATGACTGCTTGAAGGATGGAAAGATTGAGAAACACATCATTCCAATTGGTAAAATTTTTTATTTTTGGGAATTGTTGGAAGCACATTTGGAGACAATATGATGTAAAACCCTGTAGGACAAAAAGCAACGCAGCTATAGCTTCATACTTAAATGTTTAGAATAATTTAATATTTTCAATTGAATTTTTCATATAAAAAATTTTGTAAACCACAGATGCTAGTTCATGGTTTTTGTTGAGACTTACTGTTTTCACATTCAGGGTCAGATTCGTGGAAGAAATGAAATAGCACCTGATTTAAGGGAGAAATTTTTGCAAAAATTTCAGCAAATGCAACAGCAAAGTCACAGTACGCTTCTCAGCATGCCTCCTCTTTCTGGAGGAAATGCAAAGCAGTTTTCTGCACAACAGAATCCACTCTTGCAGCAGGTGCTTTTTTTCTCACTGAGGCATTTAAAGTTTTCCCATTCCTCATTCTTAGTTTTCAATATTTCATTTTCATGGCATTTTCTTTATGGATAAGTTTCAGAGAGGAGAGAGAATAATTATCATATTGTATTGTATATATATTTGTTTATTTGCAAAACTGGTAGGAAGTTTACCTGCATGTTGGATGAATGGTAAGGACTAAGGAGTGATGTGAGCCATGCTGGAAATATGGGTTCGCTCACCATTCACCATTTTGGTAAGAAAACAATTTCAGTGGGCAACAGTGCCACACCAGCCACCCTTGGGTGGAGCTTTGCCAGGTGGCTGTGGATTGGGTGGTTTGCAGTTGCCAATAGAACTAGCAGGACCAAATGTCCAGATACCCATTTATCCAAAAACAATTTAGATGATTGGACCATTTGCTTTCAAATGTTTGTCTTATTTATTGAATGAGAATTAAATTAATATATCCGAGAATCATCTCCACATGCTTTTGGGGTTACTCTGAAGTCCATTGAACTTCTAGAAGATACCTACTATAATACACATAACGTGCCAATTTTTCTCAAATATATCCATGTCTTGTTTATTATTTTGAAATGTCGGGCAAAGTTTACTGCATCTATTGGAAATAGAGAACCCTGTGCTGAGTTGCACAAAACTTTTCTGTTGGAAATATGATGGTGAAAATTTATTGTTAGTCTCTTGTTTGACAGTGTTTCTGTCTCTTGTATTCTGTAATAACCCTTTTCATTCATTATACTAATGATTATCATTTCTTGTACATTGGTATCCTCCATGTAATGTTGTGTTGTCAAACTGCAATAATATCTAGTTCCATCTGTAAATTATTTGTCCCCTGCACAAAATAAAGTTTTTCCCATGAAATTTTATTCTCTTACATGCAGTTTAATTCTCAAAGCCCAACCCTCTCTCAAGCTGGCGTTGGACTTGGAGGCCAAGCGCCAGGTCTCAATACTGTGACTTCTGCCAGTTTACAGCAGCAACAAAATTCCATTCATCAGCAGTCTGGTCAGCAGCCGCTGACATCTACTGTTCCAAAAGATTCTGGTATCATATATATTTTTTAAGTTTTCTCCTTGAAGTTTCTTTTAACAGTTGGGATGGGGGAGTGTGTCTTCCAAGAACAGTTGGTGGATTACAATAATGATGATGCATGCTGGCAGTTGATTACTGACACTGGGTATGGGCTGTTGATGTGGTTTGTTGCATTGATTGGCACTGGCTGTGGATCTTGCTGGTCTTTTTGCAGTTAGTGGTGATTCTTGTCAGCCATTGAACATAGATGAATAGGATAGATGTCTTGGTCCAGGGAATCACTTATCATTTTCTGGAACGGAAGTTGAAGCTTTTGGATTTCTGGAACCCAAATGTTGACTACTGCTTTTAACATATATAGTTGACTAGAGATCTAGAGTAATCTCTCCTACCTTTTATCACTATAGCATAATGACCAAGGGCTTAATGCATGATGCAGATGTAAGCCATACCAAAGTTGATGAACAACAGCAACAACAAAATTTACCTGATGATTCAAATTCTGAAACAGTTCCCATTTCTGGGCTCAGCAAGAATCACATGAATGATGATGATGTGAAAACCCCATATGCAGTGGATGCAAGTGTATGTCAAATAATTCATCTTTTTTTCTGATTGCATACTAGATTCTTATCATCAGGGTCATTGTTTTTGTTTTAAGTTGTTACTGTTAATAGAACACGTATAATCTCCAATTTTCCCACATTCAAGTCCTTGTTCTATTATTTTACTTAAAGTACTAGTTACTCATTTTTGTTGCTGGGAAATATATGTGCTTTTTGGCACTGTAAATATGACATTCTGATCTAGTTTCCCTGGAAAATACTTACTGGTTTTCCTTTTAATTTTTCAGTGCAGCAATATTTATTGCTGTTAATTGTAAATGGTTTTAGTTGTGACTATAAAGTTGCAAATGGTGGGTTTTATATTGATGTGAGCTGACATGTTACAGATTCCTCCTTTGATTGTAACTGAGCTGCTTGTGAATTGTTCTCTTCTGCAGGCAGGTGTATCTGGATCTTTGACTGAGCCTGCTCAAGTAGCTAGAGACATAGACCTCTCTCCTGGCCAACCCTTACCATCCAATCAACCTTCTAGTGGTCTTGGAGTCATTGGCCGGAGAAGCGTTTCAGACCTCGGTGCCATTGGTGATAACCTTACTGGTGGATCAACTGCATACCCTGGGGGAATGCATGATCAATTTTACAATTTGAAGATGCTTGAAGCTGCATTTTATAAAATTCCTCAACCCAAGGACTCAGAACGAGCAAGGAGCTATACTCCAGTATGAGACAGATAATCTTCATTTCGCTTTTTAATTCTATAACTACAGTGCAAACTAGTTGGTGGTTAAATGATTTTGATTTGTTTTCATTCTGCAGAAGCACCCTGCAGCAACTCCTGCTAGCTACCCTCAAGTTCAAGCACCCATTGTTAATAACCCTGCCTTCTGGGAACACTTAAACATGGATGGATATGGGACCGGCACTGATACCCTTTTCTTTGCATTTTACTATCAACAGGTAACTTATAATTTTGTTCTTTATCTAAACATAAAAGTGAGCATTGTCTCAACTTTCAAGTAAAATTACTGCAGAATACATATCAACAATATCTGGCTGCAAAAGAGCTGAAGAAGCAATCTTGGAGATACCACAGGAAGTACAATACATGGTTTCAACGCCATGAGGAACCAAAAGTTGCAACCGATGAATTTGAACAGGGAACTTATGTTTACTTCGATTTCCATATTGCCAACGATGACAACCAAAATGGATGGTAAATCTGACTTGACTTTCACTCTTTATCAACTATCTAAGTTCATAGGTGTGGTAATTTTTATTCAATTTCATTACAAAAATATGATTTTGGCTATTTGTTTTTGATAAAGGTATCTTATGATCTGTCTCTTGATTTATGCAGGTGTCAGAGAATCAAGACGGAGTTTACTTTTGAATATAACTATCTTGAAGATGAACTGTGATCCTCTATCATCGACTTTCTGGTTTGTACAATGCCAATTGCATTTCATTCAAGTTTAGAAGTTCATTTCATTTGACTGCAATACTACTATTAACTACTGTTCTTATGCACATTGTGTCCAATCACACCCAGAGAGCCTAAAAATTAATTTGCTAAAAACTTTGCCTTGCTAATTTTGATAGTTTCACGAAAGCACCTCTAAATATCCACTTTGCAGAGATTGCATTATAAGTTTGCATACAAGAAAAAGATTATATGATTTGATTCTATAGAATATTTCTTAATCATGTCGTTATTAATTACAAATATGAAACTTTTGACGTTACTAAATTTTGGCTCTTTTTTTTTTTTTGCCAATCTTATTTTGGCTCTTTAGTACTCTTGAAATTGCTTTAATCACTAAGATATGATCTGCTCCAATTTCTAAGAAATATTTTTTTTTGTACCTTTATTCTTTCTGCTTTTTGGCTTTCAGGTGTTTCCCTAAGATTGGATGAATGAGTTTTTAGTCAGGGTTCAGATTCAGATATTACTAAGCAAGAGCGAAAATTTTAGCTGATGATTGATGGTTTGTGTTGCATGTTTCTAGGTTTCATGTTTCTCTGCACAAAACATTGACATTCGTAATTGTAAGGTACTCTTTTCAACTAAAAAAGCTTATTAATCAATGCGATATTTGTCTATATTTTTATGAGATTAGTATTTGTCAGCCGGACTTCAAAAAAATTAAGAAGAAAAATAACTCAAAATTATATTATTTCATTAAAGCACCATGGGAGCATAAGAAAACAAATTTGTTTCTGATTTAAAAATATGTTATTTTAATTTTTTTAATAGGAGTTTATAATCTTTTAATTTTTTTAAAGATTTAGTTTACAAATACATTTTCGTATTTTTATATATTAAAATTTCTAGGATCTTCCAAGTTAAATCTTGCTCTTAAGCTTCTGCTAACAACGGAGAATGATGTCTGATGACATTCCTTGGCATATATCTATGGGAAGTAAAGTCAGGGAACAAGCTTGAAATAGGAATGGAACTCAATTGTTTGTTTTTTGCTTGTTTACCAAAGCATTTGTTCAGCTTCAGCTGCATCCAAAATGAAATGATTATTTCCTTCTGCTTCGGACACCAGAGCTCAATCCATTATTAATTATGAGAAATGCTGCTGAGTCATGACTTGCAAAATAAAATGTTATTCTGGATTTGAAATGACAACAAGAAGGTATACAGCAATTTGCATAGACTCTGCAAAGTGCAAACTTCAGATTCCGTAGGTATTTTTGTCATTCCCAGTCCAGGTGACATCTTATTTTTCTAGTCTGAATTGAAAAGAACATTTTTAACTAATTATTACATTAAAACGACGTATCTAAAAAGTACGACCATTCACTTATGCTTCAATATGTGTTTTTGTTTCATCTACCCTGCTTCTATATCTACGATTTGAATTTAAGAGAAATTATTTAGGTATTGGGCAATTATAATTCAATATTACAATTAGAAACATATTGAGGAAATTAAAACTAAATATTGACGTTTTTAAAGTAAAATTTATTAAGATTGAAGGTGTTAAAATTAAATAACATTAGGTCATTCATTGGAATTTGTTGGTACTCTATCCAGTTAGACTTAGTTATTCTAATTTAACTAAATAATTTTATTTGTTAAAAAAAACTAAATAATTTTATATAATAAATAGATAATAATTGATTTTTTTTTTCTTTTCACATATAATACTTGTTGAATATTTTTATTTAAATAAATTTTTTTTAATTATTATTCATTTATTATATAAAACTATTAGGTCAAAATTTATGTAAAAGTTAAATTGGAATAAATAAATCCGACCAAGAGGTAGTAATATATATGTATATGATTAGTCCAATGTGAGTTATAAGTTGAGTTCTGTTGTATTCCATAACCAATTCTTTATTTTTTCATCCTTTTCAGTGATGTTCAATCCCTTAACCAATTGTTAAAAAACAGTGTGCACTAGTCACTATCCAGCGAACAAATTGTGCAACAAACCTGTCAGAATTTAAAATTGTAAAAACTACTGGACATAAATTTTGATTTTGATTCTGGCCTTACGACAAATTTAAGTGTCCAACACAGGTGCCCACGCAATAATATTGCTTTTGGACTTTAGGTATGCATTATTGCATTCGCACTTGAAGCTTTGAAACTCTAAGGTGAAACCTCAATTTTGGTCCCTTAATTTGGTACATATCTTTGATTTGGTTTCTAAATTAAATAAATCTCTCTTGGTCTCTAAAATTTTAAATTTTAGCTATTGTTGTCCTTTACTTAAATTTTAACTTACATGGCATGTTAATTGACATTGAAACCTAATTTTTTTTCCTTCAAATTATTGATGTAAAATTCTGCATGGAAAAAATTGATGATGTGGATAAAATTTATTGTCCAAATTGGCCTTAAAAGCTTATTTAATCACAAAATTATAATTAGGTTAAACCCCAATTGTGGTCTTAAACTTTTGTATGAACCCTTAATTTGGTTGTTGAACTAAATAAATTCCTATATTGTGATAAAAAAAAGTTGAAGTTTAAAACTTTAGAAATCAAAACAAGAATTTATTTTGTTTAGGGACCAAAACAGGGCTTGTACCAATATTGAGGTTCAGCGAAATGTTTAAATTGATGGCATTGGGTTCAAATGTTATATTTAATAAAAAAAAATTATTATGCGGTTTAGATTGCTTAATACAAATCATTAAACAGTGATGGATTTCATAACATTAAAGGCTATCTCCCTTTATAAATAATTTTGTTGTACAGTACGGACTATAAATATAGAGGCGTGGAGGAAATGAGAGAGAAATTCATATTAAGAAAACTTTCTTAACTAAGATTATAACACTAAGAAGGCAGTTGTTCGAGCTTTGGATTTAATTTTGTTTCTTTAATTATGACTAATATTATGTAACTATTATTATTTTGCAAATCACATCCACCAGTTAATCACCTCACTAATCAACTAATCATCCATACCTTAAATTTGAATTTTTTGTTTTGTATTTTGGATTATGTTATTAATATTTCTTTCTAGAACGATCGAGGATTGACATACTATGTTTCTTAGGACTATAAAAAAAAAATAGTTTTGGGGAAAGGTAGGATTTGTTTATAGGACTTGTCAGTGCAATTATTGTACTTTTTTTACATTAGTTATTATTAAAAAAATATAAAAATTATCATTAATTTTATTATTAATATCACATAAAAATTTTAAATTAAATAATTATTTAAATAAAAATTAATTTTTATTTTTTTAATAATAATTAATAAAAAAATATAATAATATTATTATTAAAAAAATATAATAATTATACTCTTAACTTATGCTCATAGGACATAGGTTAAAATTATCCTTGTTTATATGTTTGTTTTAGGTGGGTTGATGATCGAATTTGACAAAAGTAGAATCAAGACCCTTATTTTCTTCTTCTTTTTAACCCCAAAACGTGTCTTTCGTTTTCATTTTTGGAGTTTGGTTCCAATAATTGGAAGTTGAATGGTAGAACGAAAGTGGACCTTGTCAATAATGTCTTTAATGTTGAAGATGACGTGGAACCACATCACCTAACCACCATGCGAGCATATTTATTTGAAACTTCTTTCAAGACCTGACTATGATCACATAAATATTTTATTTTTATTTTTAAAAATAATTGATAACTGATAAAGTTATTAAAATTTATTTTTTAATAAATTAAAATTATTTTATAAATAAATATTTATAGATATTTTGTTTACATCATAAATTATAAAAATTTAAGTTTATGTCACATGTCAAATATTTTTAAATTGATGAAGGTGATTTAACCATATTAGATATGTAATTATAAATCTCATAGTAAATTAGATGCCACATAAGAAAGAAAGAACTGAAAAGATAAGATTTTATCATTTGGTGCTTATTAGAGTCATGTTGGATTTGTTTTAATTGGTTTTTAGGAGTTGGTTTCAATTATGAATGTGACATATGACGAAATCTGAAAAGAATTCTAAATCTGTCATCTGTCAACTACTGAGGTATCCTACTTCTTCAAGAAATTGCCTATGATTTGAGTAATTGCTTGGCATGGGGAGTTGCAGGTGGGGAAGAGGAAAACAAAAGGAAACTTTTTTATCATTCAACACATGGTCAACCCTACACACAACTTGACAAATTTTTAGAATTTTAGTTTTCAACGATTGCTCACTTTAGTGTGTACAGATTTCGGATTTCAGCACAATTTCCAGTAAATTTAAGTTGTTTTCATCATTTTAATAGCCAAATTAGTTCGTATATTTGTTTCAACAATTTTGTTTCATGTAATAAACATCAAGCTTTGAATTTCTATGAGGTACTACATTTTTTTTTATTGGCATTAGTTTAATATTTATGATAAATAATGTTTCATCAAGTGATTATTTATATGGCATTCACACTTCTTCTCAATTTTAGGTATGTTAATTTAGTTCATGTTCGTATTTGTTTTAGTGTCATTTAGAATTAGATTCCCAATTCTGTAGTAGTTTAGTTTCCAAATTTGTCTATAAATGCAATTTAATTTGACAATAAATATGCTTAATTTAATTTAAGTACATGTGTATTTGCAAAATTTACTTTAATTTGCATGTCATTTAGTTCGCTTAAAATTTGTTAACTTTGATTCACGGTAGTGTTTAAGTTCTTAAAGTTGTTCAAAGCAGATTTAGTGACTCATTCTATAGGAAGGCATCCATTTCTCTTGCAAATTGTTTGTAGGCGTAGATTTTAATTGAAAATCAATATTCTTCCCGCCATTCATAAGGAAGTGAACCATGAGGAAGGAGAGAGTAATTGGGAAAATCATTTTTTTTCTTGCTTTCAACGAAGGAAGTGACACACTTGTATCCAAATTCTGTACATGCGAAACCATTTGAGGATTTTTAAGGAAACACATCTATTTAAAAAAAAAATTATAAACTAATACAATCTGGCATCCATGTTTCTTCGTTGTTACGAGCCTTCCTTAGAACCGTCATCCTTTACTAATTTCTCCCTCCAATTATTTATTTTGCTAGTGACTAGTGCTTGTTTCCCGAAGCTTTGTTGCTTTGAGTCCTAACTCTCTTTTCAGATCTTGCTCAACAAATTTTGAGTTCTAAAGATTTGGAGTGTAAGGGTTTGGAATACCCCTTGTAATCTAATTAATAAATTTTGCTTCATTCAAAAAAAATTATTTATTTTGCTAATTGCACCATGATTCAGAGTCTAGATACCTTGGCTTCTCAATATTCCAAACTTCTCCAACTAAATAGGAACCTAGACATCTTCCGATAGAGCTTGCAGCCATGGCCCATACTACTTAATAACTTCTCTACCACTTTCTTTAAGTTCGAACCAATCTCACAGTCAATTTCAATATGACCCATACAACCACAAATAAAGTAGAAATCTAGTAAAAACTCAAATTTAATTTGAAGCTGCTTGGTTTATGTGGTAGAGATTCGAGTGTGGCGAATCTTCTCAATGGTTTCTCAATTGGAAGACTAGTTAGCACTCTCAATGGCATGTTATGATCTTAGTCAACTTCTAAAACTTGGCCAGTCAAGTCACCTATCATCTTACTTGCCTGTTTAGATCTGAGCCCACCAGGCAAATTACGAAAGTGAACCCAAAATAGATTCG